TGGTCATTCCTAATTATTGTCTAGTTTGTCTGGGTAGCAAGATCTAAGAACTAGACTGGGTTTCAGACTTATTCCATTTTAAGATAATAGAGGCTACTGTGCTCTGGGACACTTTCAGTGCTGCAAAAACATTTTTGGTATCCTTTCCCAGAGCTGTGCCTTGATACAGTCCAAAGTTTAGAATCCCACAGCTCTCTTAGTGTCATGGCTTGGTTTTATCTTACATAACATATAAACATAATAACATATATAATAAAGTAGAACATCAGTGAGAGGTGTTTGAGACTTTATAGAAACTTCATTGAATTCAAATAGACACGGGTATCTTCGAATGCAGTTGCAGAAGCATCTTAACGATTGTTGACAAATGTACGATATTCCAGTTATGCTGGTTCTTACAGTGTCGGAATATTCGTGGGATATTTTAGTATATTTAAAAAAACTGCTTAATTATTTAGTAAAGCACAATGTTACAACAATGTAAGTAGTTAATTTTCAAATAAGTCTGGAGGCTACCATACCGTACCATTCACGCTCTTTACTAATTAATTTCAATGCATTTGAAATAGCAGAAAAATGACAGTCTCACATTATTGTGCTTATTGATATAATCATTATTTCTTTTCATGTCTGCTTCTCACTCAAAGTTCTGCATGGTGCAGACCCACAGCCCTTCTATACAGCATCCCATGCAATGAGCTGGTGTCTGCAGTGTGCCCAGGGAGTTGCCTATCTTCATGCTATGAAGCCAAAGGCTTTAATTCATAGGGACCTCAAACCACCAAAGTAAGATTCTCAATGATACAGATAATGATAAACAGTGCAGAGATTTAAGAGCACTCAAAACCTTTGTGGTGGCATTTTGGAACATGTGTTTTTTTCCCCATGGGTTTAAAAGTATTTCTGTTACAATTTATCTAAAGTATTAGTCACTCTTGGTGTTACCTGCTGATCGGTCTGTTGCTGCTGACCAACATAGCATAGTAACTATGGGATGGATTGCCATGAAATTTTGTCCACATGTTTATTTTGCCATGATTATGAATCTTTATATCCTGAAATTTGGCATTTTGAAGCTGACATTTGCAATATCAATTGAAGGAACAGAAGACTGTAAGGCTGTTAGACTGCCATGAAATGTCATGCACACATTCACGCTCCACAGAGCATCATCATCTAACTTTTCTTCTAGGCGATATCATATTGATGATGGTATTTTGATCAGTTTTGATGAAGTATACTAGAATATAAATTTTAGATTAACGTTTTTTTGAAAGTCTTAAACCCCTGTCTGTACTTTTCCAGTCTACTGCTTGTGGCTCGTGGTACTGTGCTGAAGATATGCGACTTTGGAACAGCTTGTGATATTCAGACCTACATGACCAACAATAAAGGAAGTGCAGCCTGGATGGCACCAGAAGTATTTGAAGGTCAGCCATGAACAATATTTTTAGATATTATTCAAATCTTTGTTTGTCACAATGAGTACCTAGATTTGTGTCACTCACATTGTTGTTTTAGAAATGGGATTTAACAATCAAGCTTGCTTAATAACACTATGATTTTTCCATTTGATGATCTGGCTAGATGGAAACCTCTACCTATATCACTCATGGGAAGGGTCGCTTCAATAAAAATGATGGTCTTGCCAAGAATCAATTATTTATTTACACATATACCCATTTATACATATACCTTGTATAATCCAAAAAAATCTAGTATTTTTAACCCTTATGTGTTCCTTAAATGAACACACAAAAGATGAAAGTAAACAGGAGTACTCACAGGCTAAGTATACGGCCAAGAGAGAGGTGGAAAAGGCTTATAGTGAGTTGTTTAAGATGCTGGACACCAAGGAGGGAGAAAAGAACTTGTATCGATTGTCTAGGCAGAGAGCTCAAGCTGGAAAGGATGTGCAGCAGGTTAGAGTAATTAAGGATAGAAATAGAAATAATTTTACAAGTAAGATATCCACCTATGTTTTTCCTGCAACATGTTTGCAGTCACCACTACATTGGAGCCATTGTCATGGAAAACAACCACAATTTTGCTCAGAGTAATCAAAGAAATTTCCGCAGTCTTCTCAATCCAAGAAGTAATGGTTGGCCCAGTGTGTCCTTCACGGGACGTTTTTGTGAGGCAATAATAAACCTAACCCTATAAAGTGACAAGTGATATACCTCTGTGGCAACGCTGATCCAGACTGTAGCTGTCATGGTAATGTTGTTCTTTGCTGATTTATCAGCATCTTTAATCTTACCAAGAGGAGCTTCATACTTTCCCTCCACAAGCTGTGTAGAAATAAATTCTGGAAGGTTTTGATCTGCTCAAAACCTGCCCACTTCTTCAATCTTGGACTCATGATCTCATGTTGGTCTCATGTTGTTATATACCACATTAAGAATGTTCAAATCTTGATTATGGAGCTGCCAGGATGGAGGAAAAGAAGCAGACTACCAACAAAATTCAGAGATGTAGTGAAGGAGGACAGGTAGAAGATTGGTATGACGGTAGAGGCACTGTGTTGACCCCTAAAGGAACCAGCCACAAAAAGATGAGATGAACACACAAAAATTTAATATAATTTAATTTAATAACTAAAATTTATTTGATGAAGTATTTGCTGCACTTCACTTGTCCCAAATTTTGTAAGCCTTATTCCTAAACAGATTAAATAAATTTTTCATCTCA